CCTGTTCAATGAAATAATAACAGAAAACTTCCCAGGGATAGGGAAGGACATGGACCTTCAGATGCAGGAGGCTCAAAGATCCCCATACAGTTTTTTTTTTTAAATTTTTTTTTTTTACTGGTAAGGGAATCGCAACCTTTGGCATGGTGTGGTCCACACCACGCTCAGCCAGTGAGCGCACCGGCCATCCCTATATAAGATCCTAACCTGTGGCCTCGGTGCTACCAGGGCCGCACTCTCCCAAGTGAGCCACAGGGCTGGCCCCCCCATACAGTTTCAACCCAAAAAGATGCTCTCCGAGACACATTATACTCAAACTGGCAAAGCTCAAAGACAAAGAGAGAATCTTAAAAGAAGCAAGAGAAAAGCATTAAGCTACCTATAAGTGAGCCCCGATCAGATTAACAGTAGGCTTCTCAACAGAAACTCTAAAGGACAGAAGAAAATGGGATAATATATTCAAAATATGAAAAGAAAACAACTTCCAGTTGAGAATACTATACCCTGCAAGGTTATCCTTCAGAAATGAGGGAGAAATAGTATATCTTCCAGACAAACAAAAACCATGGGAGTACACCACCACACAACAAGCCCTGCAAGAAACCCTCAAGGGAGTCCTGCATCTGGAATCCAAAAATTCATAATAACTACCATGAACACTGTATTAGTCCATTTCTGTTGCTTATAACAATATACACAAAACTGGGTATTTTATAAAGAAAATGAAATTTATTATTTATAGTTTTTGGGGCTGGGAATTCCAAAGTCCAGGGAACACACCTGGTGAGAGCCTTGGTGGTGAAGACAGTGACAGCAGGGTATCACATTGAGACATGGCAGTGCAGAGAGAGCAGAGAGAGAGACAGACTCTCCTCTCTCTTCTTTTAAAGCTCTCAGAACCACACCCCTGAACATTTTTAATCCATTCACTACAGCATAGTCCTACAATCTAATCACCTCTCCAAGGCACCACCTTTCTTTTTTTTTTTTTTTTTCCTTTTTGTCTTTTTTACTGACTGGCAATGGGATCGCAACCCTCGGTGTTGCGCCCGCACCGCGCTCAGCCAGCGAGAGGGAACCGGTCTCCACATGGGATCCGAACCCTCGGCGGGAGTGCCACCGCGCTCCCAAGCGGCGCACTATCCAGTGCGCCACCGGGCCGGCCCTCCAAGGCACCACCTTTCAATTACCATAACAGGATTTCCCACCCTCAACACTTAAAGTGTGGATTAAGCTTCTCATATATGAAACTTGGGGGACACAACCAAGCTTCAGTGAAATTTGGGGGGAGTTAATTCAATCTACTACAAACAGACAAGAAAGAACAAAACCCACTGGTAGAACAAAAATGCAAACAAGAAAGAGAAAGAAACTAAGGCTTACCACCACAAAAAACCATAATGATAGTGAAATGAAAGCAAACAAACTCACAGTCTCTTTGGAAGATGACAGTCAAACAATTCATTTTTCTAAAACTAGTAAGTAAAAGGGAAGAGTCAAGCATTTACCCTGCGTTTTCTATATGAATTGTTCCTCAGGGTAACCATAAATAGCTGAGGAGGGAACGTTTCTGTCTAGTGAAGCATCTCAGCTAGTAAACAAAGAAGGAATAAAATAATTAGAATATGGTATCTTGCAAACCCTTATTGAAATAATAGATCTAGTAAATGATCATCAATATTTGCTAACATCACAGAGAGAAGACCAGACATAATGGGCCTCCTGCAGTAAGAACATACACCTCTGAAGCCAAATCTAACCTGAGTGAGACCAAGCCTCAGGACCCAGCAACCAATCATCAGGAAATGCAGGGCACACAGTGGAACATGTTAAATGACTCTACTGGGATGGAGCCAGCAAATCCAGACCTTGGGAAATTTTATGGGGTAAAGGGGAAAAAATTAGATGAAGGGGGAACTCATACATTAAAAGAAACTTAAGAGACAGCTGACATACGACCAATGCAACAAGCAGAACTTGTTTGGATCCTGATGTAAACAAATCAACTGTAAGAAAGAAAGAGGGACAGGGAAAGAATTGGAGAAATTTAAATGTGTTTAATGTTTGATTATATTAAGGAATTATCGATTTTTAAAATGTGGTTATACTCTGCAGTTATGTCTTTTATAAGAGTTCTTACCTTTTAGAGACACATACTGAAATACATACAGATGAATGCTATGATGCTGGGATTTACTCAAAATAATCCAGGGGGGAAGGCAGAAAGTGGGTGGGGGTACAAATAAGATAAGTTTGGCTATGAGTTGTTGATTGCTGTAGCCGTATTTATTGTATATGTACTGAATTTTTCATAGCAAAAAGCTTAAAAAAATAAAAAAAGAAGTTTAAAAAATTAAAATAAAATAAATTAGGTGCATATAATTGGTTTCTTCTGATCATAGTCCAACTAAAATCTGAGAGCAGGGGCTTGCCTATCATTTTCAATGCCATAACCACAAGACTTAGCTCAGTGTATGGCATATTTCCAAATGAATAAATGAATGCATAAAAATTTGTAATTTAAAAAATTCTTTCATGCTAAACTCCCATCAAATTGATGAATAGAGTATATCTTGCTCAGTGGGCCAACCCTCCATAAAGGCCAAGCAGGGAGTGACCCCTCCAGTAAAACAGTAGTCTTGCCTGAACAATCTTTACTGCATTACAATATTTCTAGTCTTATCTCCTTGACATTTCTAAGGTTACCCAGATTGCTTATTCCTTGATCCTTAAGGAAAAAACGTGAACTTGAACACAAACAGTCAAATGTCATTCAATTCAGAGTTCAGTTTCCTGCATCAGCATGACCTCAGACTGGTAACATTTACGTTTCCAAGTAAGAAGCATTAACATCATACAATAGTCATTCAATAAGTTTTCCGAGGGAACACAATGCCCAATACTAAAAAGACATTTCTGGGTGAGTGCTCCATTCTCTGCCCACTCCGGGTCTATCAGCAGGGTCCTTTGCCTTAGCAATTGTCAACTGAGCTGTAGCTTCCCCTTTGGTCCTTCCACTTCTATAAAATACAGATACATCCTATCCTTAGGCTACCTCATGGACTGAAAGTGAAGAGCAAATGACATGTGGGGAGTTTTGTAAAGTACACTTGCTATACAAATTAAAGGCAAGAGTGGAAGACAAGATTATGAGAAACTGATCCAGTTCTGTTACAGCCCAACCAGAGGTGCTGTTCATTTCAACAAGTCCAAGGTCTAGCTGCTCTATGCCTAGGAGTGCCCTCTGGAGGGACTGGGGTGAGTCACTGATGACCATATACTGCTGAGGTGGTGCCCCAGACATCATCTAGCTTTCTCCAGGTCCTCACATCTCCTCCCAGTTGTCACTCTGTTTGGGAAAGAGTAGAAATTAGAAACAGAAGAGAAGAAGGGTTGCAACTGGAAAATTCTTGTTCCAAGATAGTACCATGATTAGAATTTTAACCCTGTAATTTTCTGACTTCCAAGGACTAAAATTCTTACATATTCACACTATTAGAGTTTACATTAACTTTCTTTGTAGTTTACCTAAACTTGGCTCAAAATAACCCCCCAAAAGCCTCAATAATTTTGTCCTATAAAATTCTAAAATGACTATTTTATTTCAGGGATTAGCAAACTATTACCTGCAGGCCAAATCTGGGTGTTCTGGTAAATAAAACTTTACTGGAACATCAATTTGTTTACAAATCGTCTAAGGCTGTTTTTATATTGCAAAAGCAGATCTGGTAGCTGTGACTAAGACAGCATGGCCCATAAAGCCTAAAACACTTACTATCCGGCCCTTTACAGAAAACTTGCCAACCACTGCCCTAATTCTACCTGCCTCAAATACAACAGGGAAGAGTTTAGTCCAAGTCTGTTAAATAAACCACTTTTTCTTCACAACTGACAAGGTTTTCACTTTTGAAAAAGAAATCGTAATAAGTCTCATATGTATAGAATCAGCATTTTTGTATGTTGAACAAACCAAAAAAAAGTACTTTCAGATTTATCCTCAATGGGAAAAGTGTATTTTCTCACATGCCTATAAATCTACTCTGCTGAACTAATTTTACAGAATTCTCAAAAAAAAAACATTGACTTAAAGCTGAATCAACAAACGCACCACCCTCAGTCCCAAAGCAATTTTCTGAAAGTAGAATTAGTTTTACAGATAGGGCCTAAACAATATGCCTTTACATTAAAGTGCATCCTTCTATGAATATATTAAACTACTGAGATAACACAGTTTCTGACCATGTTTGTAGAAGTGTTTAATCTTTATGTGAATTACACAGTTTTTTTACTATTAGTTTAAATAGATTTATAACACTAAGCTAAATATATCTGAACATTTGAGAAACACTCAAAAAGCAAAATCAAATATGCAATCTACGTTTTTAAACAAAAATGGGGCTACAGTGTACTCACTGAGATAAAGGGTGAGGATTCTTTATTTCCCAGCCCTTGATACCCCATCAGGTGGTAGATTAGCTTTCTATAGTCTGAATATGGTGGGGAAAAAAATCTGTACATGAGAAGGGTAACAAGAGCTCATCCACCATCCTTTCTCAGATGTTAATGCTTTCTCCCCTGAAGAAATGAGAAGTTGTATTAAAGTGGGGATGAGAACAAGGACTTCGACACACGTGCCAGAAAAAGAAAAGAAAAAAGAAAAGGTAAGCCCTTTATAAAATGTAGGCTCTAAAAGAAGTCTTATCCCTAAAATATAACCCAAAACATCATACCTGTGAGGACGGTCTCCTCAATTGCTGCTATGCTCCCTTCATCAAAAATTAATCCATTCATTCCAAATTTAAAGGGAAAAATCTGAGCACTTCTATGTCATCTTTTCAAATCAGTTATATTTCCTGCTCAGAAAATTTCTGGACAGAAAATAACAAACTTCCCCTGACTATCCTTCAAAAGGACAAAACTCCTCTATGCCTTACCCATAAGCCAGTCATAACTGTGCAAACTGTCCAGCGAAAAACCTGCCACACCCCAAAGATACAAACCTCCTGTCGAATGACACTTGCAGTTCTCTCCAAGTGATCAGTTTCCTTTTTGGATTTCATTATCCTTTAACAAAAAGTAAAATTAGGTTATTAAGTATTATCTTCACAAAAATAATAAAGTTAGTTAGTTTCTTCTGAAATATCACGGCTATCCAAAATACAATATGACATTACAGATCCTACAAAAAGGTCAGTGAATATTTGCACATTTAACTAAAGTTTAACGATCTACTTGCTAACAGCATGCACATTTAAGCCAAGACGTTACTTCTTTCAGAAGTTTGATATGCCTCCCACAAGCATCAGCAGGTCAGGTCTCTTTGAAAATGAACTTCAAATGACACTGAAGGCTTGACAGCTCACCTGGTTAGAGTAAGGTGGCGTAAAGTGCTGGCTGTCAATCTCAACAAAGCAGCCTGAGTGCAGACGGCTGCCACAGAGCCTCGCAACAACCCAGGAGTCACAACAACAGCACAGGCCATGGTGCTTCCTGGAGAAACATAAAACTGAAGGTTAAAATTATTTTAAGAATCAGTGGGGAAATATCAACTATTTTAGAGTCAAATGAAGAAGAGTTTAGATTTCTGTTGGTTCTGTTATGAGTTGATCAACCAGCCAAGCAACCAAGGGCCTACCTAACTTCATCCTGGCAAAATTTCTGCCACTATTAGAGTTGATTCAACATATTTGCACATATACATAAATACCTAAGCATGGAATTACTGGTGTTGTCAAACACTCATGCTCTCTATTGGTTTCCAAAATCTCTGACCAAATTCACATGACTAATCTCACACTATTATAGAAGAGGAGAATAGATTTTACAACTACCTCATAATTGTATTCAACCTAAAGAGCACCACATAAGTCTTAAATATTTTTTGTTAGATAAAGCGCAAGAAGCAGATGAATTTACTGATTTCTCAAACATAAAAAGCATAAGGTTCTCTGATATTAAAAACCAACATAGATAACAGTGATACTACTTAAAATAGCCAAAACTGGAAACTATCCAAATGGCCACTAATAGAGTAGATGAACTAATTGTGATACACTCACACACTAATATATATGATACAGCAATGAGAATGAACAAACTACAAGCCATGACATGCAATAACTTAGATGAACAACACAAACATACTGAATGTGAGAAGCCAGACTCAAAAGAACACATATTCCTTGATTCTAAAAACAGGCAAAATTAATCTATGATGTTAGAAATCAAGTTAGCAGTTACTGTTGGGGGTGGTAGTGACAATGATGTTTCTTAATCTGGGTACTGATTGCACGGGTATGTTCAATTTGTAAAAACTCACCAAGCTGTCCTCTTAGGATCTGTCTACTTCTCTGTTTGTATGTTATAGTACAATCCAAGGAAAAATTGTAAAATACACACACATAGAAAGGCTTCCCAATTTTTTTCAAATTCTAAAAACTACTGACCTATCATGAAAAGCACTGATTAGGAGTCAGATTATACTTTTTGGGTTCCTTCCATACAATTTTCTACGCCAACTTTTAAAAACAATTCTTTTGCCTAAATGGCCACTTTTAACATGTTGTATTGCTGCATCTGTCCATTCCTATCTTAGTTACCTTGAGAATAAAAAGATATGCAAATACCTTTTTTTATGAGCTTTTTGGAAGGCACTATATAAATTAACTGTGATATTCAGTGTTTGGAAAATATTTAAGCTAAGTGTGTTTACATTCCTACTCCGTATTCATTAATTTAGTCCTTCATTTAACAAATATTTATTAAGAATCCAGTATGTGGCAGGAACTGAGCTAAGCACTGGAGATACAGGCATGAAGGAAACAAAGACCCTCTTAGAGAGTTTACATTCCAATAGGTAGAGACAGAAAATAAATAAAAGTAAATAAGTCAGGTGGTGATATAAATCATACGTAATTTATTCAGTTATAACCAAATCATATAAAAAATCCCTCTGCTTCATTATTAGTCTTCAGATAAGATAAAAGATCTATTTCTTCTTGCTGTAGTATGATGCAGCATCATTTGTGGATAAACATGCTACTTGCTACTTTTCTCTCTACTAAATGAAATAAGCATAAGACGTCTTTCACCTCATGCAAGAGTTCTAAATGTAGTTTCTCTCCTTTAAATGTACTAAACCAAAAATGGTGGGTTAATCACTGAAAGAAAGGTGAAACTTACTTTAGAAGTCCATGAGATTTTAGGAGTCATTAAGTGAAAGGCCGGGTGATGGACAAAGAATATTTTGGTCCTGGTATTATACTGAGACCTTTGGATATACCAGCTGGAACATGAACAATTTTTCTATATATTGAAATTCTCACAAAGTTCCTGCAATGGTAGAGACAACATATAAGAACAATGTTTGGGGAAACTGATAAAAAGCAGTACAACCTTTAGCTGCAAAAGGAAAGGTTCCTTATACTCAGCAGGCATCACCTCACACCAAGCCCACTCTCCTTATCCCCTTTTCCATTAATTCTTCCCCTTCATGTTTCCAGTTTTCTTTTTTGATTGTTTCTCTTACTGCTTCTCTTGTTCACCCTCATTGACCTGTCTTTAACTCCTGCTACTTAGGATATCCACCCCATGAAACACCAGACCAATGGCTAGAACGGTACAGTTACATGTCATTTAAGGCCAAGTTCCCTGTCAAAATTTAACTGCTATATAGTTAAATATGGAAATACTGTTCTACTCAATGTTTTAGGCAACTATTGCTAAAATAAAATGTCCTCGCAATAGAATACATCCTTATGCTGTTTGAATGGTCTATTTCACAACGAAACTGGAAAACAAATGTTAATTTTTTAAAAGCTGTTGTCTTTAAAATTCTAAAATCTTGCTTTGTACCAACAGTAATCATGACCAAGAGCGCCACCTACTGGTACATAAAGGGAATCTTTATAAAATTGTGTTCAAAGTGCCTCTCCAAGCTTTATGCCAGTCCTTTGAATAAGGTGTTTAAAAAAACTACCCACTTTCTGAAATATGTCTAATGGTTTCATATATCCAGTGCAGGTATTTAATCAACCGCAGCAGATCAATGTATATTAAGCAGTTTCTAAAACCATATAAAGAAGAATATTCCATCAGTTCTTGTATCCTCAGAGGCCTTACCTTAACAAAAAAATCTTAATTAACTCTATTTCTGAAACAGAGAAAATTATCAAAATTGCTAAAGAGAGCTGATATCCATTACATAAGGGTAAAACACATTACTGTGAACAATAGATTAAATTCGAGATTTAAGATTAATTACACTGGTTTCGCTTCAAGTACACTCAGTTCATTCAACAATTACAGGGGTGCCAGTCACTATTCTGGGTCTCGAAGATACAATAAAGAACCAGATAAAAGGCCTCTGCCATTAAGAAGCTTTTATTATAGTGCAAGAGACAGATAATGCTAAACAGATAAGATAATTACAGATTATAAAGAGCATGATAAAGGAAGCAAGAGTGATGGGGTGGGTGGGGGAATATCAGGAAAGCCCTCTCTCAGGTGATGACACCTCCACTGAGACCTGAGTGATGAGGAAGAAGCAGCCGAACAGATATTAAGGACAGAGCATTCAGGCAGAGGGATTAGCAAGAACAAAGTCCTAACACAGAAACAAGTCTGACACATTAGAGGAACCAGGGCCAATGTGACCGAAGAGCAGTAAACTGGGTGAGAGTGAAATGAGATGAAGTCAAGCAAATAGACGAGTAGATGTGCCAAATTACAGTAGGCCATGGTAAGGGTACGACCTTTACCCTAAGGGCGATGGGAAGCAACTGAACGGTTTGAGTAAACCAGGAGAGGGGCATGATCTAATTTGTATTTTTAAAGACTTGTTCAGGTTGCTGTGTGAAGAATGGATCACAGAGGGACAAGAGTATAAGCAGGAAGTCTAGTTAGGAGGCTCAAGTCTGAGATTATAGTAGGATAACAGGTACAGAGATGGCAGAAGTAGATGAACATGCAATATATTCTGGAATTAGAGTCCTGTAACTTGCTGATAGATTGGACAGGGTGTGAATGAACAGTGAGAGAAAGAAAAACTAAGAATGCCTCAGACAATGAATCCACTGAAATAAAGTAAATTCACAGAATCATGGCACATGTCAATTTAGAATCCTCAGTGTCACTGAGGAAGCAAAGGGGCTCCCAGTAATTGATAAGGGAACCTTAGTGGTATATATGTGGTATATACAGAATGCCTGACTTGAAATCAGAAGAAATTGTCTGACTCCTTCCTGCTTTCTCATCTTGGGCAAGGTACCTCACCATTTTAATCCACAACACCTCACTGGATTGACAACAGGTATAAATAATGTCACCAGAAGTAAGGGACAAGCAAGACTGTTACTAAAAATCAGTCCTAATGCATTAACCCCTTCTCTTCCTTGCCAAACAACCTAGAGAAACAGTTGTTTGATACTGCCAGTAAACAACTTCCCTGGCCTGATACACAACATCACTCATCAAATATAGTTTCTATTATACAATTATGACCCGGTTCTAAATCTGACCTTTTGCTAAGAATTTTGGGAACTATTATTTCTGGATAAACAGTGTCAACATTTATGATAAAAAATTAAACAAAATTAACCGTGTAATCAAATGACTCTGCAGCAACTAGTAAATCTGCTTTTGTCACACTCTCGGGGTCCAAAAACGTGTCATTACAAAATGTTTCTATTCCATTTTAGGAATAAATGTAAAGTTTAGTAGTCACTGTAATTAATGTTTTATTTAAAAATGCTGGGTGGAATAAAAAAAAAACTACATTACATGTTTGACTACGGTTTTACTTTCTTCAGCACAGTACAAGCTCAAACTGGACAGAACTGTAAGAGCTATCATCTCTGGTTAGACTAGGGAGATGGCCAAAAGATGGTAGGATGAAAGAATGTGGAAAGCCAAAGAGGCCTGCCTGACCCCTGACCCCCAGTCTAGGTCTCAAGGGAATCAAAACTGCTTAGCAGATTTCAGCAGTCTGCAGAGCTACAGTGCTGCTTATTTAACCTAAATCTGCTTGAAGTATCATCACATCACAAATTGCATAGCAGTTAAGAGCCTAGGTTCTAGGGTCAGACAGATTTGAGTTCTCCCTATAGATTACTGCCACTTACCAGCTTTGCCTTAGGCAAGTTCCTTAGCTCCTAAACCTCCCATGTCCCAGTGTTAAAGATGGGGTTAATGATACCTATACCTCGTTGGGTGGTTTTAATGTCATAATACATGAAAAGGATTTGGTACAGCGTCTGGCACAGAGTTTCACATTATTAATAAGTGATTCATTGGTTTTTCTTTTTCCATTTTAGGTAGTACATATTCAAACAGTTGGAAAAATTGGAAAATTACAAAGAAGATCTACCCAACAACTCCTGTAATTTTTAGGACTACTAATTTCAGATTTTAAGATTCCCCAGCCATTTATTTTTGATACATCCAAATTGCTTTCTAAAACGTCCACCAATTTATACTCCCATAAGCCAAATGACTGAACCCATTTCTGTACATTCAGGTACTTAACACTCAGAAACACCGAAGAACTAAAGGCAGTTCCCCACCTCAAAATTATCATTGAGACTACAGAATAGACACTGGAACTTCCTTTTCCTCCTGTTTCCAAGAAGCAACCTGGGAAGTATTTGTGTGTACAAAGATACAGGGAGCAGCTCCACTTAGCTGTGCAGGCTTTGGTGGGATTTCTCCCTTGTCCAGACAGACCAGAATCATCAGTTAACCCACAAGGTCAACAAATGTTTCCTAACTGCTAGCAGATCTTCAATTATGCAAAATGGAGTGTTCGTGAGGCCCTCTGAATAATCTTCCATGAACTCCTTTAGTGTTAACTTCTGGATTTTCTCCAGAACTCTCCTCTGTCTTTAGATTTTCAAGCTTTAAGGAGCTAAATCAGGTGTTGCTTCATCTCAGTGTGCACAAAATCAGTAACTTCATGCAAACATTTGAGTGTGTGTACATAAGCACAGGGGTGTGTATTGTGGCTATGTGTTATGTAAATATAAACTAAATATAGTATATATAATTACTGAACCAAGTGAAACTCATGATTTCCATGCAAAAGTAGAATATTAAATCTGAGAAAGATCTTGTAATCATTTCTAATCCAAGCCTTTCTTGGAGGGCCCCAAAGAATGTAAATTTCCAGTTCCCAGAGCTAATTAGCAACTGAGATTCTGAACCCAGATCTTCTCTCAATAGCTTGGTTTTTTTCCCCTCACTACACTGCATTCCTTCTTTACCAATATATAAATATGCCTAGTAACGCAGCAATACCCCAAAGGATCCAGATTTAGCATAACAGGCACTAGCACTGCTTTCAAGACAAACCGCCTTTTATTTGCATTTTGCTTCAAGGTAGGCAGAGGTCTCAGGCTAATAACCCTGCCCATTGACACCATTCCTTTTACAAAAAAGAAACTCCGGTTCACATAAGTTATTTGTTCCTGGGCTCTGCAGACAGACAGGCTCTTCACTATTTCCTTGGTGTGCGATCTTGGTCAAATGGCTAACTCTCTGTGCCTCAGTTTGAAGATTAATCAAATGGAATAACAGCTAAACTCCCAGGGTAGACGGGGGAATTAGACTTAGCACAATACCTGGCACATAATAAATTACCAATAATAAAGGTGATGTTATTGCTGTTACTACAAATCATTGTAGCTAATTATGTTACACGCCTGGCAAACACAGGACTCGAATTCAATTCCTGCCTTCCAAGGCGTGGTCCTTTCAGAAACACGATTTAGGGTATTTGAAGACATCTGGGGTGAAGAAGGGCAAGGAGGTACCTGTAGCCTGGAACTATAACAAGCTGGGCGGCGCCCTGAGCTCAAGGTCACTCGGTGAAGCGAAATCCCCCGGGAACTGTTCGCCAGTCACTGGGGAGGGAGGTCGAGGAGGCTGAGCTGCTCCCGCCGCCGCCCTAGCCCAGGCAAAGCGGCGCCCCCCTTTCTCGAGGGCTGGGTGGATGCTACCTATCGCCCGCTGCAGCCTTCGGCGGGCTTTTCAACACCTCTCGCTGGGAGGCAACGTGAAGCAGGGAACCGCCGCGGCAGATACCGCGCTGAGAAACCAGGGCCAATTCCACCGCCGGCGCGTGGGCGCTTCCACGGCCCCCGACGTGACGCAGCCGCCGCACGAGCGAGGCCCCCCATGCTATTGGTCGCTGCCGTCCAATGGGAGGAGCGGTGTGCGACACCTTTGAGCCGGGAGAGTCCTCCTTCCGGTGTCTCCGCCCCTCGCTCGGCCGTCTCCATGGTGACCGCCAAGGCCGGAGTTGCGTCATTGTCTGTGCGACGGAAGCGGTAGTCCCCGCGCCGGCGCCAGGCCTAGGCCGGCGGCCGCGAAGTTGGGCCCGCCGAGGTGGTGTCGGAAGGCGGGGGTATCAGCCCTTGGCCGGCCCCGGTGACCATGGCGGTCTTTCACGACGAAGTGGAGATCGAGGACTTCCAATATGACGAGGACTTGGAAACGTATTTCTACCCCTGCCCGTGTGGGGATAACTTCTCCATCACCAAGGTAACTTCAGGGCTCCTCCCGGCGGGCGCGTTTCGCTTTGCAGTGTTGCCAACATCGTTCGATCGTCCCCGCGGCTCGGAATCACCCACGCCCTGTTTCTGTATCCCCCTCCCTTACCAATTAGTATTCTGAGCTCTCATTCTGGCCTTCAGTTAGGCCAGGGAAGGGGTGGCGGGGAGCCCTGGTCCCCACCTTCCCCCTTTATGGTCCCTTCCTGGGATACTTCTTTAGAGGAGGGAATTCGTTTTTGTTTCTCAGGGGTTTTAAGGCGACGGAACCTCGCCTAATCCTCCTGAGTGTTTCCCCTAAGGGACCCTTCCAGGGAAGGATGGGGTTGGCGTTTCTCGCGGAAGGCCGCTTTGGCTCTCACCCGCCTTGCGGGGAGGCAAGCCACCAAGAGACTTGCACGTAGGGGTGGGAGGGGTTTGTGGGGAGGAGATGGAGAAGGAAAGACTATGCTGACCACATGGTGTTTGATTTCGTTGTAGGAAGATTTGGAGAATGGGGAAGACGTGGCAACGTGTCCTAGCTGCTCTCTCATTATAAAAGTGATTTATGACAAAGTAAGGGATATAATTTAAAAAGAGGGAGGGGGGCTGTGAGGCAGTGGCCAGGACCTAGAGCAGAGTGTGTGTGATATGTAAGTACAGGAGAATGATTCATTAACAATGTGCTAAATAAAGTGCTATATTAAAAAAAAAATAATAAACATCTGTATAGTAAATTAAAATGTTTAAAGTTCAAATCCCATAACTCTATCTTTGGAAAGGGTAATAAAAATGCTTTTTAATGAAGATTATTGACTACTTATTAAATAGAAAAAAAATAATTTCAAGGATTATTTTAATTAATCTTTATTTCTCCTGTAGTTAGTGTATGTAATTAAAATTCAGAGCTCCTGGACTTATTTGGAAGGGAAGAATTGTAAATTATTTCTTGCTTGGCCTATACATAGAATTATGCATTATCTTGTTTGAGACATAATTTCTAGTTGCAATTTTACAATTTCATTTTAGTTTTCAGTTGTCCTATTGTCTTTTATCTAAGGATGTTGACAGTAGAAAATAAATAAATGTTATTACTGCCCACCTCTTCCCAAAGTTTTGGTTGGTACTTTGAAAGGAGTCTTAAAGTAAAGAGCTTAATATTCTTAAGGATGAACTTTAGGGAAAGTGGGGATGAAGCACAGAGCCTCATGAGAGAAGCAGGCTATACCATAATTTAGAAATTTAATGATTCATTCTTGTATTAAAATGTGCTCTGGAACAAAAAGCAAACAGGATCAGGAAGGTCAGGAGTACTGGTCTAAGAGGAGGTTGCAATCTTAGATAGACTGATCTTGGTGGGCCTTACTGAGAAAAGCTTTGTTAAGCAAAGGTTTGAAGGAGCTGAGGGAATGAGCCATATACGTGAGGGAGAGACTGTTAAGAGAGCTGGGCAAAGGGAACTTTCAGTGAAGGATCCCTAAGGCAGGAACATGCCTGGTTTTGTCAAGAAACAAAAAGGAGGCCAGTATGACTAGAGCAGAGTAAATGAGGGTAAGAGTAGTCCATGATGAAATTAGGAATGGGGCAGATCACAGAGATGTTTGTGGGCCACTTTTAAGGACTTTAGCTTTTGTTGTAAATGATGTAGGGAACTGTTGGAGGATATTTGAACTGAGAAGTGCCGTGATTCAACTTAACTTTTAAAAGAATGATTCCATCTGCTATGTTCAGAGTAGACTGTGAGGGAGCAAGGACAGAAATAGGATGCTCTTACACTAATCAAAGTAGAAGATGGATGGTTTGTACCAGACTGCAGTGATGGAGGGAGTGAGAAGTGGTTGGATTCTAGATACACTTTGAATGATAAGGATTTTCTTACTGATTGGATGTAGGATATGAGAAGAGTCAAGGATGATTTCAATATTTGTGACCTTATGAATGGGGTTACCATCAATTGAAGGGGAGGTGACTGTAGGTATCGGGCTGGGAGTTGGTACAGTACTAAGTTTGAGAGGCCTATTTGTCATCCAAGTCAGGCAGTGAAGAAGGCAATTGGATATACATGTCTGGAGTTGAGGAAAGAGATCTGCTGGCTGTGTAAATTGGGGAGCTAGCAGCAATATGTAGCATTTAGAACCATGAGATTGGAAGAGCTCGCCAGTGCTGTGAATGTAGCTAGAGATGGGAAAAAGAAAGGACTGAGCCCTGGAGTGTTCCAGCATGGAAAGGTCAGGGAGGGAAGCAAAAAATCAGCAAAGCGGACTAAAAAGGAACAACCACTGAGGAGGGAGAAAAATGAACAGTGTTGTATCATGGAAGCCAGATGAGAAAAGGTGGAGCAAGTGATGAACTTTGTCAGATGCCACTGATTGAAAGAAGTTGGGAATTAACCATTGGCTTTAGCAACACAGTTCATTTGTGAGGGTGATGAGAGCAGTTTTGATGGAGTGACCAGGACAGAGCCTGATTGGAGAAACCTGATGGGTGGAAAATGGTTAGAGAGAATGGGAGGAGATAGGCAGAAACATAGACATTTCTCTCAAGGAGTTTGCTGCAAAGGGGAGCAGAGAAATGGGGCAGTAATGGCTGGGTGACAGAGGATTAATAAAGGGCTTAAGGTGGTAGATACTCAGCTCCCTGAGTGAATGTAGACACAGGAAGTTAGATTTAACCAGCGTTGTGGTTTTTGCCAAGTGGATAAGGAGTGAGGGAAGAGTGGTTATGATAATTGACCTTGGAATTTGAATTAGGTAAAGAGAACATCAAAGGAGTGAGGGGCAGTGTAAAGGTGGTAGGAGGAATACAGTGGCAGACCAGAGGTGTTGGAATACGGGATCCAAGGTGGGTAGATGACAGCAACAGAGAGGAGTAGTAATGTTATAGATTGGCATAAGATTCAAAGTTGATGGGTTTTGGAGGGGGAAGGAGAACAGTTGGCAAAGAAGAGCAATCAGCCCCACTTTCAAGCCCTGTAGTACTAGGGCTCTGAGAATACAGAGCCACCACTAGAGGGGGATGTAGGGGAAACAGTGTCCTTAGAGTGTGGCTTCATCTCACCCTCAGCACTATGGATATTTTAGGCCTGATAATTCTTTGTTGCGTGGGGCTGTCCTGTGCATTGTAGGGTGTTTAGCAGCATCCCTGGTCTCTACCCATTAAATGCCCATACAAACCCTTAGTGTGTCTATCCAAAATGTTTCCATTAGACATTGCCCAATATCCCCTGGGGCAAAGGAACATTTTAAAGAGGAGGTTAAGAATGTGGAGCACTGTGCTAACAATGGACCGTGAATTCCAAAGAGCACAGTGGAAGGGTTCAAGATGTTGAGCAGGAGAGAGTGATAGGGGCAAAAGGGGCTGATCCTTCAGGGATCAGATTGTAGGAGATGACGGGTAACTTGGGAGGCAGAGATTTCTTGTGGTAGCTGACATAAACCAGGATAAACGGTCAGAGATTGAAGTTCCTTTTCATAGTAGCTAATATTGCAGATTATCTGGATTGGGAAGCGCATAAAGACCCATCCCTTTTAGTTGGAAGAAGTACTTTGAAGAGGACAGGTATTTGATTGACAAAATATTGAAGTGGAGAAGTTTTAATGTAAGTGGTAATTGATACAGAAACTTAAAAGAGGTGGCATGTCTTTATGTGATTTCTGAGAAGTGGTTGCTCTGTAGTGAAGATGGTTATGTTTGTTTATAAGATAAGGTACTTGATATTAAATAATGAATTCAGGACCAAGAACCAATACACTTTTAAGATTCTGATTAGGGTGCTAACACTGGCTCTTTGAACAAGGATGAAGTGATATAGTAAAGGAAAAACCAAATTAACTGAGCTGGATTGGTTATGTCATAAAATGAAAGTTTAGTATTAATTCATTTGTGACATGGAAACTCCATGGTTAATGTCATTTCTCATTCTATCTTAGGATCAGTTTATGTGTGGAGAAACAGTTGCAGCCCCTTCAATCAACAAAGAATTAGTTAAGTGCTGAAGAAGCCTTCAGGAATCCAAATCCCAACAGTTGGGAATGAACCAAGTTGGAAATATCAAATACAAAGTTACTGGCTTCTTCATGGGGACAACCGTTTTGTGGTTTACTGTTCCATTAGGGTGTGGATTCTTTTTATCAACTGTTGAGTTCATCTTCAAATAAAGAAGCAAGTCCAATACATGACTACCCGGATTTCATGCTTAGAAGTTTGAATTGGAAATGTTCTTAATTATCCATCTGAATTTAAAGGAAGGTAATTTCAAATCAGTGCTATTTTACCCTCAGTTTCATCATTTTTATATCTTAAACCTAATTACTTCAATATCTGATAGCAGCATTGTCTACCTCAGTCATTGGGATCCTTCACTGGGATTGTATTTTTGACTTGGTTATTAAGATGATTAAAATTAGCCCTTCCTTTGAAATTCGACTTTGCTATTCTAAACTTAAGCAAATGAGTTGCCTTGTCAGTACTGCACTCCAGTTCCTACACCAAGCCTGTTTCCTCAGTCTTGCCATTATTAGAATGTTCATGTTTCATTCAGCATGCCATTCTGTTACACTTCATGCACAGAGTTCGTTCATGGTATTAAAGAAAAAATATAGTGAGGTCACAATTTCTCCAGAGCTAAAAGTTAGTAAATAAGAAAGAAAAGTTCAAAGTGAAATGAACAAAGAATATGGAGTTTCTTTATAGTCTGCATGTTCCTTGAAAGTCAGGACAAGATTAAAAAAAAAAAAAGCTAAAGAAAGTAAAATAGATAACAGAATGAGAGGAACAAAACATGCCAACTTGAATGAGATTACCAGATCAGAGCAAATAATATTTCCATATCTTGGTTTTTATTTGTTTTTTGATAAGGCTAGTTAAATTGCATTCCAGATAGGGGTTTATGGCAAGTTTTCATGGCTGGTGGCAGTGCTTTCAGCATATCACTGTCACTACACCTAAAAGGTAAAGCATCTACAACAGAGAATGAGCTTGAAAATGGGAGGCCTATTCTGAATAAATATGCCCATGAGGCCACATCTGATAGCCTCTATGACATGGAGCCAAACCAGACATGCACTCCTGCAGAGAACTGTTGCCCTGGAGAAAAATATGTGAAGATAAGCTGTCAGTCTCTCTTTGCCACAGTGCTGAGAATAGCTAGAAATTAGAATCACATAGAAATTTGAAAATTCCCTTTGTATACACAACTTTGCTATGTATATATAAAGTTTTAAAAATGCACTGTCTGGCAGATTGTTTCGGGAATGGCTCCTACAACTAGAAAAATAGCTTGCTAGAATGTATATGTCCTATCACTGATTGAGAACTGTGCTGCACACACTAATTGGAGTTTTAAATTAAAACAAGTGAGTGGCCTTTTTTTTAACCTGCCAGTGGCGTTGCTGTGTGCAGTCATTAGGCTGAGACATAATAAGTGACCAAAAATTGACAGAAGTGCTTGGTACTTTTTATGGCATATTCCTGAAGTATGGAGAAATCTCATTGCTGTGTGGGACACTGACACCCCAGAAGTAATTCACAACTGCTTTGCAAAAGCTAAGTGACTGCTCATGTAAACAGCAGGGTACATGCTGACTGGTGGGAATGAACTGCAAAGAGAATGTCCCATGCTCGTGGTGGTGGTTTTCTAGGTATCACTAACATATTAGCTCCCTGCTGAGGAGTTTCAAAGATACCCTTAATATAGGTCTACAGTGAACATAGAACAGGAAGAAAAGTTGTCCAAGTTCAAACATCCCAGAAGAAAAGCATACACAGTGCTGGCAATCAGTGATTGGTGATACACTGCAATAATGGGAATGATTTTGTTTCTAAAGCAACTGAGTCACTAAGTTTGTGAACTACAAAAGAATACATCAAGATTTAATCTTACATTAGCAGAAGGTAAAACCAGAGTTGCTGAGTGATGTGTGTGCCTTATTTTGCCCAAGACATTTCTGAAGCACCTCTGAGAACTGATTTGTAATCCATGCTCTGTCTCTTAATAGTTCTGAAATCTTTGGCAAGGCCAGTAGATTCCTCATCTGTAGAATTAGGAGACTGGATCAGGTGATTTCTCAGCTCTGAGTTCTCTAATTTCAGGCTTGCTAGCTTACAGGAACTGAAATGGCAATTGAAACCTTAATAAACTTGAACTATCTAAATCATGAACTGCAGAGAAAGGCTGCATTCTTCAATAACTTGATGTTACTACACTTCTGAGTTTGAAAATTATAAATTTAACTAAAAGATTCTTCATATACTTACATGTAAGCATTCAGAGATACTTTTCTTGGGAAGCACCCAACATTTTTGGTAACTGTACATATTAATTACCGGAATAAATTGTATTGGCATGCTAAATAAAGTCACATAATTCAAATCCATATATTTTCATGTAGTTCTTCCCTTAATTATTAACATTTTGAATTAAAAGATTTTGGTGTAATGATTTTATACTTACTTATTTTTTTATTTCTTAAACTGCTTTGGGGCATTATAAGGTTTCTGGTACAGAAGGTAGAGTTTTTAAATAGGAAAATTGTGTCTGTTTCCATGGTTTGGGTTCTGGGTTTTATTAGGAAAAAAAAAAAAAAAAACTGAGTCAGTGGCAGTAAGGCAAAGATAATTGACATTCTTAGATGAGTAATTCAGTTTATTGCCAGGAAAGGCTGGTATTTTATTTAAGGCTGATGATCAACTCTTGGAGTGGTTTGAGAGCCCAGCTCTAGGCAGAACACAATTTGAATCTTAGTCCCTCTGCTATGGTCATAGACAAGTTATTTTTTATATCTCTATGACCTGGTTTGTGGAATTTAGACCATAATAGTACCTCTTTCATAGGCTTGCTCTGTGAACTCACTTATTTGGCAAGTGTTGGTGGAGTGCCTTTCAGGCTCTAGGTGAAGACTGGGTTTCTGCCATCATGGAGCTTACATGCAACCAGAAGAGACAGGAAATGAGATTACAGACTGTGTTTAGAGCCCAGAAAGAAACAAACCAGGTGATGTGATAGTAATTGGAACGGATGCCTTTTTAGAGTAAGCAGGAATCTGAGGTCTGGCACTTTTTCTGAGACCTAAAGGATGAGAGTGAAGCAGCCTTCTGAAGATGATTAAGTGATAGTCATCAGACTATAAAACATTTAGCACAATACCTATTATATGTGCACACACACACAAAAAGGTTAATATTCGGACTTCAAGAATAATTCAACATTGTTTTGCACATTAACAGTATTCCCAGAATAAATATGAGAAGTGCAAAGTTTTGGACAGCCCCAGCCCCCACCTTACTGAATGTGGGGGTGGGGCACTTGTTTTAACAAACCCTCCAGCTGATTTTGATGCAACTAAAGTTTTAGAACCTCTGCTTTTTCAAACTTGACAGCACATTTGTACTCACCTGGGGCGCTTTAAAAGCTATGATGTCCCAAAGAGTCTGATTTAATTGGTCTGATTTAATTAGTCTTGACAGGTTGGGCATCAGGATTTTTAAAAAGTATCCCTGGTCATTCTAATCTGTAGCCAAGGTCCAGAGCTACTGGGATGGAAAAACAAAAAAATTCATAATCACAAAGTAAAAAGGACCCAATTTTTAGAAATGGTCACACCTCCTTTGCACATGGAAGTGTGTGGGCTCAGTTGGCCACACACTTTGTATTCAGGCATGAATGGGCCTTAACAAATGACTTAAATAGCAGAGGCTGGGCTACTGTACACAGTGGGAGAGCCTCAATCTGGGTGGTCTCTGGTCTGCATCCCCTATTTAAACAGACAGTTGTCACAGTGTCCAGTACACACTCTAGTTACTAATTACATACCCTACAAAAGTGACAGCTTCTGCAGTTGTAATTAAAATTTCTTTAACTCCATTTGAGGATGCCTGCCATTCCCTACTTCCATCCAAGCAAATTGCTCATGATTGTGTATTCAACTGGGAAACCATTTTACAAATGGTTCCTTGTAAAGGATTTAAAACAAAGGACATATGAAAAAGATCACAGTTAAAAATGCTAACCCCCATCTCCACATAATGCTTAAAATAGAGGCCAAGGGTGGGGTAGGGGAATCTTCAAGCTTCTGTACATACTTGCAGAAGATCCCTAGAACTCAGAAAAAAAAACACAATTCTTAGTAGATTTCTGAATTAATATTGGTCAAGTTGTAGGAAAGCAAGTTTGCATTTTTTAAAATTGCTTTTTGGGGGCCAGCCCGGTGGTGCACTGCTACAGTGCGCCGCTTGGGAGCGCAGTGGTGCTCCCGCCAAGGGTTTGGATCCCACATACAGACCGGCTGCTCACTGGCTGAGCGAGGTGTGGGCGCAACACCAAGGGTTGCGATCCCGTTGCCGGTCCCGGTCCGGTACGGGCGCGACACTGAGGGTTGCGATCCATTGCCGGTCACGAAAAAAGACAATAAAAAAAGAAAATACAATCAATCACACAGGTTTCTCCCATCTGTAATTTGTCTATCCTTAGGTACTTTCTTTCCTGCTCATTTTCCTGATGTTTTATAGATGTTCTTTTGTATTTCTCTAGAAATTACTCCCTACTCAATTTTTTTTTCTTGGCAGCTGGCCGGTACAGGGATCCAAACTCTTGGCCCTGGTGTTATAACACAGCACTGTCACCGATGGACCCAATCCCTAGTCGATTTTAGATGTTGCAAATAACTTTTCACAATCTGTTATTTCTTTTATAGTTCTGTTGTGATCTTTTTTTAATAGAAATTCTGAATTTTTTGGTCTTTAGACTTCACTAAAATTAGAGAAGAAAAGTTGCTAACCAGACTTTTTTTCTTGCAGGTGAACAAGTTCAAGTTTGCAGGGAAATCTAGAAGTTAGGCATGTCCAACTGCTGGAGTGGGAACCATGGAGACAGGTGGTGAAGAAGTCTAGAAAGGCCATTGCTTCTGTGTCGCCATTACCTCTGTGAGTTTACAGCCAATCCTTGGTTATGAGCTTGGGGTTGCTGTTGGTCAGTAGAGCTGGCAGTGAGGAGAAAGCTGGGCTTGCAGCAGGAAAGGAGGACAAACTAACAGACCAGCTCCTTTGCATCTGTCTCTCACCACTTCTAACTATGGTGCTCTTCAGAGTCATGGCTGCTGCTTCCTTTCTGCCTTCCAAATCTTGCATGAATTTCTCTTTTTCAACCAGTCGTAACCCAGAACCACATAGGGAGGAGGATTCTGGGGAAGAGTTCGAGTTTAGCCAAGTTAATACAGTACTAAACTACCATCATTACTGATAACAAAAAACCACTAAAATCCACTTGAATATTTTGGTTAGAAGCCCCACTAACCCTAATCTTTGTACAACCCAAGAAACCTTGTCACAACACCTGCTTTCTGAAATAGGACAAATGCTGGGAAGCTGAGCTGGCTGCTACTGCAGATCACAGAGGCCCACATAGGCCCAGCAGGCTGTTTCTACAGAAGACAGCTACCTCAGTCCTAGTCTGGCAAATGAGGGGTATATAATGGAGGAACTACTTCAATATGACCTGGCCTCCAAAGAGGAGTGAATGTCTGGTAAGGGGTGTGAGATCCCAACAAGCAGCACAGAGCCACTGTCACTGCTTCAGTCTAGGAGGGTCAACACTTGGGACTGAGGCAGTTTGCATCTGAGACCTGGCCATGGTAGCAGGACCCAGTCACTAGGCAAAGATTTGGGGCCAGACTTCATACTTAGGGGGGAACTGAGTATTTGGATAGGGTCAAAGGTTGTACCTTTGGGCAAAGATCATTTAGATCACACTAAGATGTTGATATCATAATCCCCATGTTAACTGAAACCAACCTTGCCAAGGTTGAGGATGGAGAAGAGGGGGAAACAAACCCTTAATGGACACCACCTGTGTGCCAGGCTCTTTACACAAGAGCAGCACAGACCTTCCAGGTCACCCCAGAGGGCATTGGATATTAGTGTACAATCCCAAATGTCAGTGAGCATTACTGTAGCTGGCAGGTATCTCTGAATTACCAGTTGGTGATGATGATAAGAGTAAACCAGACTGGATGAGGGATTGGGGACCATTTAATGAGATTAAATGATATGATGCATGTAAAGCAGTTAACACAGTTTTTGCACATGTAAGAGCTCAATAAATGATCATTAATCTTACATATTTCTTGTTCTATCAGAAATGAATCAAGGATATGGTCTGGGGAACTTGTCTGAATGTACAAGTTAAAACAATGGACTCAGCCATAATGTGTCAGGGTTCAATCCAGAGAAGCAGAAGAACTGTGAGTGATAGAAAATGAAAGATGTGTTATAAGAATTAGAAACTTTACATAGTGGTAGAAGCCAGTGGAGGCATCAAGGGAAGGCTGTCATCTGTGCATCTGATGTTGAGCCCAACGTAGCATAGGTCAGCCAAACTGGTGGTTGGAAAAGAAGGCTTGGTGTGAATGTGAACAAGGGAATATACAAACTGGAACCTGCATTGGTCTCTAACCACCTCCAACCTTGATGCAGTGAGTGACTTATAGGGAAACCTGGCACCCCCCCGCATGGAGTTGCATAAATACTTGATCCAGGACAAGGCAAGCTATCCATTTATAACAATGTATGTGAGCACCTACTGTTCCTGGTGTCCTTCTCCAACCATCATAGCTGCTTTACTTCTGGCTTCCAAATCTTGCACAGAATTTCTCTTGTGTTCAGTGCCAACCCAGGGCCATGCAGGGAAGGGAATTCTGGGAAATATAGTCGCAGTTTAGCTAAATTGTCACCACGTACAGTGTTGGGGATGTCAAGGCAGAAGTGGAAGACTATTTGCTCTTAAATAGGCAAAGTGGGGCCGGCCCAGTGGCGCACTGGATAAGTGCACCGCTTGGGAGGCGCGGCAGCGCTGCCGCCCGAGGGTTCGGATCCCACATACAGACCGGCTCCCGCTCACTGGCTGAGCGAGGCGTGGGAGCAACACCGAGGTTTGCAATCCCGTTGCCGGTCCCTGGTCCGGTACGGGGGCAACACTGAGGGTTGCGATCCGCGTTGCCGGACACGGAAAAAAAAGACAAAAGACAAAAAAAAAAAATAATAAAAAAAAATAATAATAAAATGATCCAGAAGCCT